AAAAAATTATCCATAACAAAAATTTTTCTAAACTTTAAACAGAAATTTATTGGCAACTACTTGATAAAATTTAATAAAAACTTTTAAATGAATTCTATTAATTTTCAGAAATTATTTTAAAAAATTTCTATTGAATTTCACCAGATAGATATTAAAAATTTTTATTTAACAACTACCTGATGATTTTTTTAAACCTAATTTTATTAATTTGTAGAATTGATTTAAATAAATTTTCATTTATACTACTAGATAGTTGTCAGGTAAATTCGTTCAAAAATTAAGAAAAATTCTACTTCGTACGTCCATTTCACGTGATGTTTCGGTACGTGCAAAATCACGTAATTTGATACGTACCCGTAGACCGGCGGGGAAGATTGCCATACCCCAAAAGGCATGCTCGTGTCTCTGTACCTCAAACCCTATTGACCAGACATTTATTATTGTTATTGTTATTGCTACATTCCTCTGAGAAATAAGGTTGCATATTTTCGGGTATATATTAATTGTGGAGTGTTATTTTTGGAGGAATACGGTATTATTTTTATTCCAGACTTTTGTTTTATTTTTATTGTTTCTCACTAAATTACAATTTATGACACTAACAATGAAACTTGGTCTTTAATGTAGTAATGGAAGTAAATTATTTTATTTTATTTCTGAGATATGTGTTATTTTATATTACAAATTATTAGACTGAAGCAAAGTGATTGTGCTGCATTAATGTGTATGAGTGTTGTTATATCCATAACTTGCGAATTTTTTTGTCTCTATCTTTAAATATTAATTTTTTTTAAAAAAAATAAATTTCATACTATTATTCCCTAATATATATTAAGATATTTTATGTCAATGATATCGTTTACTGCTTTTTTTGGATTCAGTTCATTTGCTTTTCTTAGATCTGTTGCAGCTTCATCATGTTTTTCAAGTATTTTATTTAAAATTGCACGATCGTAATACGCATCTGCTTGTTCTAATTTATCCAATTCACATTTTGGCTTGAAATCATCTAGTGCAATAAACTCATTAAAAGCCTCTTTATACTTTCCTGTTAATCTATAAAGTGATCCACGTTGCCAATGTAAATATGGTTCATTTGGATTTAATTCAATTGCTTTCTCTATATCTTTTTGACTTTCGTTGTACCGGTTGCATTTTAAATAAAGTGCTCCACGATATGCAAGACAGAATACATTAGTTGGATTTGATTCTAATGCTTTATTAAAGTCTTCCAATGCCTCTTCATAACGTTCTAGCATATACAAAGTTGCCCCACGAAGTCCTTGTGTATAAGCATCTATTGATTCAATTTCTAATGCTTTGTTAAAATCTTCAAGAGATTCTTTTAATTTTCCTGATAGTCGATAGATTTCTCCTCGACTTTTCAATGAGGGTACATTATTTGGTTCGATTTCCAATAATTTATTGAAATCATCAAATGATTCTTTAAACATTCCCATCAATTGATAAATTTCACCCCGATTTTTTAATATTAATATATTATTTGGTTCAATCTCTAGTAATTTATTAAAATCTAAAAATGACTCTTTATAATTGCCTATCATCTGGTAAATTGTACCTCTAAGTGTTAAAGCCAATAAATTGTTCGATTCAATTTCTAATATCTTATTAAAATCCTCAAGGGAGTTCTTATATTCACACATCATCATATTAATTGAGCCTCTGGTTATCAAAGCCAATAAATCATTTGGTTCAATTTTTAACACTTTATTAAAGTCTTCAAGTGATTCTTTATATTTTCCCATTAAGCGAAGAATTTCTCCACGTTGTTTCAATAAAGGTGTATTATTTGGATCGATTTCTAATATTTTATTAAAATCTTCAAGAGATTTTTGTTTATTTCCCATAATAAAATAAATTCCGCCGCGAGCGCTCAATATATTTATATTATTTGGATCAATTTTTAAAAATCTTTCTATATCCACAAGTGATCCTTCATAATTACCCATCTCTCGATGAATTGTCATTCGAATCGTCAAAGCTAATAAATCATTCGGATTTATTTCAAGTAAACTATTAATATCGGCAAGTGATTCTTGATATATTTTCATTTTTAGATAAATTTCTCCTCTATTTTTTAACGATATTGTATTATTTGGATCGTTTTCTAAGCATTTATTTAAATCATTTAACGATTCCTGATATCTTTCCATTAATCGGTATATTTCACCTCTAACATTTAATGCAAATATATTTTTAGGTTCAATTTCTAACATCCTATTTAAATCGGTAAGTGAATTTTCATAAAGTTTAAGTATTTTAAAAACTTCACTACGTGTTTTTAGAGTTATCAAATTATCTGGTTCAATAACAAGCGCATTGCTTAAATCTGTAAGGGCCTCATTGTATTTTTGTAAACAAATAAAACACTTTCCACGAACTATTAATGCGGGAACGTAATTTAAATCAATTTCTAAAGCTTTATTTAAATCTTTAAGAGATTCATCATAACGATCCAACATTAGAAAAGTATTTCCTCGTGAAAATAGTGCAGGTAAATCATCTGGTATAGTTTTTAATGTAATATTAAAGTCTTCAAGAGATTCTTCAAATCGTTCAAGCATGAAATAAGTTAATCCTCTTAAATAATATACAAATTCATCATTTGAAATAAATTCTAAGAATTTGTTATAATCTTCAAGCGATTCTTTTCCTTTTTTCATAAGATAATAAGTATAGCCACGTAATCTTAATGCAATCATACTTCCAGGTTCATCTTCTAACGCTTCGTTTAATACTGTGAGTGACTCTTCATATTGACTAAAAATATAATAAATTTTTACGCAGGACCTTAAAGCAAACGAATTACTTGGATGTATCTTTAATGACTTTTTAAAATCATCGAGAGAATCATCAAGTTTATTTTGTGCATAATAAATTTCTCCACGAAGTCTTAAAGCAGATGCATCATTTGAACTAATTAATATTTGATTTAAATCGGCAAGAGATTCATTATATCTTCCCATTTGTCGATAAGTTTCACTTCGGATGTTTAAACCTAATAGATCATTCGGATTGATTTCTAAAGCTTTATTCAAATCTGTAAGTGCTTCTTCATATCTATTTAATATACGAAAGGTATCTCCACGATAAATTAAAGTTTCCTGATCATTTGGATTTTCTTCTAAAGATTTATTAAATTGTGCTAAATACATTTCATAATAATTTAGAGCATAATCAATCTTTTCAACACCGGTATTCGAGTTGTTACTTGTCTCTAATGTGGCAGCATTTTTAAAATCTGCAACTGATTCTTCATGAAGATTCAATATTCTATAAGTTTGTGCACGAAGTTTCAATGTAGTCTTATCATTCGGTATAATTTCTAATGATTTGTTAAAATACATGAGGGCCTCTTTATAATTCCCCAACTTGTGATTTATTTCTCCATAACTACATAATGCTGATGCATTTTCTGGTTCAAGTTCTACTGCCTTTTTGAAATCACTGAGAGATTTGTCATAACTATTCATATCGATATATGCATAACCTCGATTGATTAGGAATAGCACATTATTTGGATCATTTTCTAATAATTTATTTAAATCATTAAAAACGATTTCAATTTTTCCTAGTTTAGTACAAGTGTGAACACGATAAGTCAATGCAGCAGTATCGTTTGGAACAGCTTCTAATAGTTTATTTAAATTAGAGAGTGCATTTTCATATTGATTTAATTTAGTGTAAACCATTCCAAGAGTTCTTAATGCTTCAACATTATCAGGTTCAATTTCCAATACTCTATTTAAATCATTAATAGATATTTCATACTGACCCATTAAGTAATAATTGAATCCTCGGTGATTTAGCATAAGCGTATCATTTGGATCTCTTTCTAACGCTTCATTGCAATATGAAATTTCATCTTCATATTTGTCCATGAATTACGTATTCATACAATAATATAGAAAATTAATAAGTGTTACTAGCGTTACTAGTGTTACTACTGTATAATTGTATCAAAATTTCTTATAACTATAAAATATTATTAAAAAATTCTTTATTAATTTCGATTGAAGAAAATGAGTTGATATTTGCTTTGAACTACTTACTTGTAAATTGTCCTATGTGGTACACGCATACGAAACCCCTAGAATATCACAAAAAATTAATTAGCCCTGTAACCTTGACCAATCAAATCAAATTCAAGTGTAACATAGCAGTAAAAATCGAAACAAGACACTTTTGCAAAAAAAATATTCAAAGCAGGACTGGTTTGATTATCATAGTACACCTGACCTTGATCTTGAATTTTAATGTCCAAAATCACAGGAGGAAATATTTTACGTGGATGCGCTACCTAAGTCTGACGACAATGTAGTACCCGAGCCGTTTTGTTCTTAGAGCTTCCAATATCAACGCACAATATTCTAATTTTAAAATAATAATATTATTATAAATATGTGTAAAAATTTAACCATTTTTGTAAATTGAAGGTCGATTAATAAAATTTTAGACTAGATATTTTTTTAAAACCTCAATTTTTTGTTCAACCGTCCTACAACATTGTGTATCGGTACATACCGACATTGCCTAAAATACTTCGTGGACTAGGCTTATTTGATAAGAAACACAGTAAGTTTGTCATGTTTTCTTAATTTACAACGAGAAGAATTTAAATAGGTTTATGATTGTAGTAGAAAATTGAATTGTTATTAAAAAAGAAAACTACTACTGTAGTGTCAAAAGCATCTTATTTAATTTTTCTTCTATTCAAGAATTTTCTTAGGACAATTTTTCGTGCTTCTGTAATGCAGAGATCACCATAAATAATGTTGTGGTTAACTTTGAATTTATAAACGTTTTTCTTCGTCTTTTAAATTAAATTCAATTGAAAATGTTTGTAAATTTTATTAATTTAATTCTTATATACTTATTTCAACATCTTTTGTCAAAATTTTTTAATCTTAGACCTTTTATATTTAATTTAAAGGGATCCACTGTTCAATGACCTGACTAATATTCGTTTGGATTATGTAATGGAAATAGCTCGTGAGATTTCGGTTCTATTTGATTCTGAATCTTTTGAACAAATAGCACAAATTATTCAAGATAATGAAACGCTTACTTCACAAGAAAAAAAATATCTTAAAGATACATTCATTAAAGGACGAAATGTATATGGAAGAAAGGCAAACATGTTAAATGCATTATGCATTCGTTGTCAATCTGAGCTGTCTGCTGAATTTTCTTGCCTCGAATGTATTAGATTACATATCAAAAATAACTTTTCTAAATGGACCTCTGGAGATAAACTTTTTGATTTTTGGATTCAAAAATTTCAACTTAAATTTTATGCTAGGTCAAATAAAGTCATTGAATGGGTACCTTTTGATAGGTTTCAAAATATTAAAATCAAAGCAAGCGGAGGGTTTGCAAACGTATATATTGCTAAGTGGATAGATGGTTCAATAATTAGTTGGGATGCGTATAAACAAAAGTTTTTAAGAGGTATGCCTGGTCCGGTTATATTGAAATCCATGAAAAATCCTGAAAACCAAAGTGAGAACTTTTACCAAGAGGTAAATACGTATGTATAATATTACCTATATGTATAAATTATAATACTAATCATGCAAGCATGTCTATGGTATTTTATTATCGCTTAGATATTGGTTCATATTACAGTTTCTTTGGAGTGTCCATATATTGTTTCGTGCTATGGTTTGACCAAGGAACCAGAAAGTGGTAATTATATGATGATTTTGGAATACCTTTTTGATGGAGATTTAAAAGATTTTTTAAAAAATGAAGATATTACTCTTTCATGGAGAACAAGATATTCCATACTTCACAATATTGCCTCTGCACTTTCGAAAATGCATCTTTATAATATTTTGCACGGAGATATTCACCCTGGAAATATCATATCATCCAGAAATATGTGGTGTGTCGGTGATTTAGGACTTTGTAAGTTCACAAATGAAGCCACTAATAAAGAAATTTTTGGTGTCCTTCCATATATAGCCCCAGAAGTCCTACTTAATGCTAATTATACAATTGCAGCTGATATTTATAGTGTTGGAATAATAATGTGGCAACTTGTTACTAAAGGTATTCCATATGATTATACGCATGATAAAAATGATATTGCATTAGCAATTGATATATGTAATGGTGTTCGTCCTGAAATTAATTGTAAGCTTCCATCTGACTATGAAGAAATGATGAAAAGATGTTGGAATACTGATAGTTTAAGTAGACCAAACGCATCTGAGCTTTTAAAATTTTTCACAACTAATTTACAAAAGATATATAAGAATGAATTGATTATTCCAGAATTAGATAACAACTTAACTTCTTCATTGTTTACATCTGACAATGACCTTGCTCCAAAAATTATTAATACAGGTAAATTTTATAAACTTTATAATATGAATCAAATGTTGCTTTTTTAATCTAAATATTCTAAATAAGTTAATTTTTTTAACAATAAAATTAGAAAAAATCAAAATTCACTATGAACAATCCAATAGTTTTGGTTTTATGATGCCAATTCATAAAGACGAATAAATAAATTTTAGATTCAATTATATTTCTATTAATTTATATTTTTAGTTCTTGATTTAATTCTAAACTTCTTTCTAAAAAAGAAACATAATTATGCGTAGCAAATGTTGGCATTCTATCGTTATATTGTTTAGATATTGGACTCAAGTTAATTTGAGAGTAATGATATATATATATATATATTTATTTATTTAAAGATACAATGAATAAAAGATTCGCGGAAGAATTACATGAAATAGTAACGTATAAAAATGCTGTTAGAAAAATATATCACTACTCCAAACTAGGGCTGTTAAGTGGTCCGACTCAAACCGATGGTCCGCCGGTCCGTCCTAGGACCGGGCCGGTCCTGTCTTTTTTGAGACGGACCGAAAAGACCGTCGGTCCTAATAACAGTTATTATTAAATCATTGTTATAGATAAATTATAGATAAAATCGTAATCTGATTCGTAATTTTTTGCGACATTTAACATGTACATAATAAATAAAATATCTAATTATAGTCGTGAGAAAACTTTTTATTGACATAATGTCATAGGTTAAGCAAATAACTGGACTAAATTTGGAAAACTGAGGTGTAGGGCTATTAATCAGTTCGAACAAAACTCAGCCTTGCAGTCTGTCTTAGACCGGGCCAGTCTAGTCTTTATAGGGCGGACTAAAAAGACTATTGGTACTAATATAGTTAGTACTAAATTATTGTAACGAACATATAGCCTAATTTTTTGTAACTTATTGAGTTCGGATTATTAGCACTATTATAAATATAAAGTATATGTAAAGTTGATTTTTAGAGACTTAGACAACGATAATAAATTTAAAAAATTTAAATCAGATTTTTTCTTAATTATAACATCAGGTTTTCTTCAACAAGAATTAGATATACAAATTATTTTTAGCTAAAATGATTGTCTAAATTTACTTACAGTACAGGGTTCAAAATTCATGCATTGCCATCACTAATAATAAATAGACAGGTTTAAATATTGGTTAGAGGTAGCATTTAAGCAATTAAATGAGTAATAAACTAATAATTTGAACAGAGTCTATAATAATAACATGTAGTAATACATAATAATTAACATGTTGGTGCATTTTATGTGGCATTTAATTAGTCTAATAATCGGTCGGTCCTTATCGGTCCTGGACCGCAGTCTGGTCTAACTTTTTAAAAAGACCGTTGGTCTTTGGACCAAGATGGACCGGACGGACCAATTAACAGCCCTACTCCAAACATCCAATGAATATATCATTTTTTAAATTGCCTAACTCAAGATGGTCCCTCTAAAGTATGGGATCCGATCAATTAATTGACAATCACTTTGTAGACACTACATTTCACCGACAATTACTTACCGACAAATTCATTTCACAGTTTACTTCACCGAAGCTCATTTTACGGACAAAGTAGTGTAATTTACTTATCGGTGAAATGAGCTTCGGTGAAATAGATTGTAACTTGTCGATGAGTAATTCTTGGTGAAATGTGGTGTCTATGAAGTGATTGTCAGTGAAATAATACAGATCCCACTATATGCAAATAATAATATGAAAGGATGAAACCTGCGACAGAGATAGTTACATTGTTGATGCAGATTTACTTAGTTATAGTGATAGGTTAGTTAGGGTTAGTTACTATATTAGATAGAGATCTGCATCAGTAACGTAACCATTTTCGCGGGTTTCACCCTGTCGTATAATAATTATGTGAACTAAATAACAAATTGTAATAAATACAGTTCACAAAGCTCAAGTATCAAAAATGCAATTCTTACATATCTTAAGTCTGAGATTTTTTTTATGTACCAATATTTATTGCTTGATTTTTATGTCACGAGTTAGTCCATCAAAAAATTAGACCAGAATTACTCTTAATTTTACTAATGAAATCGCAGCCGCCCATTAAGTGAAAATTGTTCCTGGGTCAATTTTACCATAATGCGGGCTTATTCTTTAAAAATTTCTATAGTTAATTCCGGCCGGAAATTAGTAAACAATTATGTAATGCGGGCGGCACCTACTGACAGATTATTATCCAAAGCTTAACATCTGAGGTGCCTCGTATTAAAAGGGCTCATTTTGAGATAATTGAGTTTAATCATTTTTTTTTGATTTTCGGACTGGTCCTGGATTAATCAAATTTCACGATTTTGATTGGTTAAAGGTAACAGGTGACTATCGGGTAGTGATGGGCAACGCACGGGATCCCGCGCGTGATTAGTGTTCCGCAGATCCGATCCGAGATCCGGATCCGATTCGGATCCGAGGGGTCGAATCGGATCCAAATCCATAAAATGTAAGATCCGACAAAATTCGAATCCATGTGGGGGATCCGATCCGGTATACCCGCTAGGATCCGTTCAAATAGCGTACACTGATTGGCTGTAGGTTGTGTACTCTGATTGGTTAATTCTACAGATAATCTCT